TGAAATACAGTGAGCTTTTGAAGTATAAGTATAGCCACCAGGTCATTTCTTGTTAGCTATTTGGCAGGTGTTAACCTTTTACAGCCTGCAGTAATATGTTGTGCAATCTCCACTGTTTCCTTCCTGTATTATCTGCATTGATTGTAAAGTCTGGGTTCCTTAAAATAACCCCTTCGAAGTTTCTGGTGGCAGTGACCTAGTCCTGAGTTGCCATTGTAAACTTCTCCATTTCCATAATCAAATCCACCAAATGACTCAGTCATTTTTTCAATGCTTCTTTGTTAAAATGTTGCTGGCTGAGTTCATGCTAATGTCATGGGGGGGGTGGCTTTTGGATTCCACTCTTAGGTCTTTGCCATTTTGTTGAATTCATCACTTCAAAGGTAAATCACTTTTGATTACATTCAGCATGGCATTCTAATGACATGGTTTTTGACATGTAATTGCTATCAATCCTCTTCCTTCTTTTTTGAATTATTATCTCACTTTTCTCATCTTTCTCATTGGAGTTCTGATACAAGCAGCTATCCTCCTCATTATTTTTTAAATTCTTTTTCTTACAGAAAGGACAATCTATTGTACTTTCCAATGGAAAAAAAAAAAGGGGGCTGGTCAGCCCTTTTTCCAATATATCTTTCTGGTAGAGGTGGGGTGGAGGATGAGTGGGCTTAAGAATCCACAGACACACGCAGAACAATTGTGAAACCTCAAATTAAAAAAAAAGTAGCTATTTTGTACAAGTGGGTAAAAATAGCTACTTTTTCTAGTTGCACACAAATATTAGACTATAACTTCATTCTCTGTAGGCTCAGTGAAAGAATTCTTGGTCTAGCTCCACCAGCAGACAGGACAACAGGAGTGATACGTAAACTCCTCCTATTCCCACCTGATTTTGATCTCCTTGGCCAGGTCTCTGTGTAATAAGAGCTATTCGTTCCATGCAGCTTGGAACTTCTGGTATTGAGTATGGTGATATCTATTCTAAATGTTTTGTGAGTCAATTTTATGTCCAGGTAATTGTGGGCAGGTCTATAATAATAATAATCTGGTTTCAGTATAGTAGTTGGCAAAGTTGGCCAAGATAATTTGATTTTGTTTGTTTGCTTTTGCTTTTTGGTGAGGCAATCAGGGTTAAGTGACTTGCCCAGGGTCACACAGTTAGTAAGTGGCAAAGTGTCTGAGGCCATATTTGAACTCAGGTCCTCCTGATTCCAAGACTAGAACTCTATCCACTGTGCCACCCAGATGCCCCTCCAAGATAATTTGAGAACTGTATGTTGGGATTCATCCTTCATTTCTGAAGAGAACCAATGACAACACACGGTTAGATTTAAGTGGGGCAGCATTGCATAGAGAATTTCAGCCTCACTTTCTCTTCCAAGAATCATTGAAGTTCAGTGAATTATACAACAAGCTTCTGACATATAATTCTAGTCACCAAGTCATGTTTTGCCATTCAGCAGCATTAAGTTATCTCCTTTATATTTCTTTGTTGACATATTGTTGATTAAGTTCATGTGTATATCACCCATGTAGGGCCTTTTGATTCCATTCTTAGATCATAGCTGTTTCATGAACTCTATTTGACAAATCCAATGGCACATTCATATCATCAGCTCTTACTATTATGTAGTAAAGTGATGTCTGTATTTCTGTAGGTTTTTAACAGATTCATTGTGTACTAAGAATATCCGTCAAGCCTCTTTTTTGGAGTAAAAGTACTAACTTTTCCACAGTTGTCTTAGGGTGATGGGGCCAATGTTTCATCAATATTATATGGCTTTTTTTAGGATATTATTTTTTATTATATTATTTTTTATTTTTAAAAAAATTTATTCTGAATTTAAACACCAAGAAAAGAAATACACACCAGAACACAGAAGATCCTACACAAAACTATTAATCTCTTTCATATCGTATTTTTTAAAAGTATATAAAAGAAATTCTACACATTACTTATGAACTCTGTACTTTCTAAACTTCCTCCTTTTTCCCTTTGAGTTAATCAAAAAAAGTTACAATGGCTTTTTTTTTTGCATAGCTATTGCTAATCTCCCTTCTTTCCCTCTTCAATTAACTGAGAGTAAGAAAATGGGGAATAAACCTTTGCAACAAATAAGCACAGTCAAGCAAAACAAATCTACACAGTGGCCATATCCAAAAATGTTTGGACACATTGCGCACATTGTGTCAATCTTCTCTTGTCAGGAGGTAGGTATCATGCAGCTTCCTAGGTCCTTTGGAGATGTGTTCATTGCATTGAAGAGGTGTAGTCTCTAAAAGTTGTGTTTCTTCACAATATTGTCGATCTGGTGTAAATTGTTCTCCTGATTCTGCTCACTTTGGTCTGGATCAATTCACATCACCCAGGATTCTCTGGAATAATAGTTTTCATCATTTCTTAGGGCACAATATTTCATAACATTCACATACAATTTGTTCCACCATTTCCTAATTGTGTAACTCGCGATCTAAACTAATTACTTAGATTCTAGTTCTTTTCCTTGTTTCCTCCATTTGAATTCTTCCAGATTAGGAAGTTTGTTTTCCCTGCAGCTAGTCCCCTCCTTTGTATTATCCTCCATCTCAATCGTTCTTCCATCACTGCTTGTTTCTCTATTGGGTTGGATATATTTTTACATTCCTATACCATATTATTAGTATGTGTATTCACTTCTCCTTTGTTTCAGATAAGAATGAAGTTCTTACTTCCCCTGCTCTTTCCTCCATGATTGCAGACTCTTCTCACATACCCCAGTGAACCAGTCCACAATAGTTTTTAATGAGTCAGGAAGACCTGGGTTCAAATCTAGCCTGAGACACTTGACACTTACTAGCTGTGTGACTCTAGGCAAGTCACTTAACCCTGACTGCCTCACCAAAAAGAAAAAGAAAGAAAGAAAATATAGGTGATATTAAAAAAATTTTTTAAATCCAATAGTTTCTAATTATCCCTTCTCTTAAGCCCTCAGAATAGAATCAACCAATGCCCCCTCCCCAATCAGGACCTTTGTTTTCTTTCTTTTTTTGCAATCTTTTTTTTTTGAGGCAATCAGGGTTAAATTACTTGCCCAAGGTCACACAGCTAGTAAGTGTCTGAGGCAGAATTTGAACTCAGGTCCTTCTGACTCCAGGGCAGGTGCGCTATCCACTGTGTCACCTAGCTGCCCCTAGGAACCTCTGTTCTTCTTATTTATCTCCCTCACTATCTTTTGAACATATTAAAGCTCTGGAGGGGCATTTACTTCTTCTACTTTTATTAGAATGTTAGTACTATATTATCTCACAGCTTCCTCCAGTTGACCAAATACATTTATCATTCTAGATTTTTCTGGATTCTTGTGTTTGTATTTCAAAGTTCCTACTCAACTCTGACCTTTTCATTAGAAATGCATGAAAGTTCTCAATTCCATTAAAGATTCATTTTTGTTTTTACCCTCTGTAGGATTATACTCAGCTTTGTAGGGCAAGTTATTTTTGTTGTAAGCCTATCTCTTTTGCCTTTTGGAATATTATATATCAAGATCTCCTCTGGTGTTTGGTAGGAGTTTTCAGTTTTGCGTGATCTAGACCATGGTTCCTTGTTTCTTGAACTGTTTCTTTCTGAATGCTTACAGCATTTTTTTTTCTTTGATGTGGGAGGTCTGGAATTTGGCTATTATGTTCCTGGAAGTTTTCCTTTAAGTTTCCCTTTAGAGAGTGATTGGTGGACTCTTATCTTTATTTTACCCTCTGTCTCTAATAGATCTGAGCAGTTTTTATTTATGATTTCTTGAAATATAGTGTCCAGGCTTTTTTTTTTAAAAACCATAGTTTTCAGTGTACCCAATAATTCTTAAATAAGCTATCCTTGACCTAACTACTATAAAGCAGTGGATAGAGCCTTAGGCCTGGATACAGAAAGATTCATTTTCTCCAGTTCAAATCCAGCCTCAGACACTTACTAACTGCATGACCCTGGGCAAGTCACTTAACCTCTGTGTTTGCCTTAATTTCCTCAACTGTAAAATGGGGGATTATAACAGCATTTATCATGCAGGATTGCTGTGAGACTCAAATGAGATAATATTTGTAAAGTGCTTATTGGCACAGTGCCTGGCACATAGTAGATGTTATGTAAATGTTTATTTCCTCTCATTTTCTAGGTCAGGTTTTTGGTTGCTCAGTGGATAGAACACTGAGCCTGGAGTCAGGACAAACTGAGTTCAAATTTGACCTCAGACACTTACTAGCTATGTGGGCAAGTAAGTCACTTAACCTGTCTGCCTCAGTTTCTTCAACTGTAAATTGGGGAAAATGATAGCACCTATCTCCCAGGGTTGTTGTGAAGATCAAATGAGATATTTGTAAAGCCTTTAGCACACAGTTCTTGTGCTTAGTACATAGTAGATGCTTTGTTGTTGTTGTTGAATTGCTTCAGTCATGTCCGACTCTTCGTGAGAAGAGTCTTTGTAACTCCAATCGCTGTTTTCTTGGCAGAGATACTGGAGCGGTTTGCCATTTCCTTTTCCAGCTCATTTTACAGATGAGGAATTGAGGCAAACAGGGTTAGGCGACTTGCTCAGGGTCATCCAGCGAGTCAGTGTGAAGATGAGTCTTTCTGATTCCAAGCCCAGTGCTCTATCCACTTCACCACTGAGGCAGTTGCCTTAGTAGATACTTAACAACTTCTTATTCCATCTATCCACCTTAAACACTGCAAGCTACCATCTCTTTGGGAGAATTACCCCTTCCCTTCACTGGGTGAGCTCTGTGTGTTAACTCTTGCATTGGGGTGGGTGCTGACTTTTGGGGCTCTTCTAAGGTAAACAGTAGTTTCTCAATGGATTTCTCAATCATTATTCAGTTTGGTATGAACTTTAAGGTTTTGCTGGAGTGGGTATGAGGAACGTGAATGAACTGCCTTCTGCTGGAGTGGTCATCTTGGCTAGAAATCCAAGATAATGTTGGTGGTGATGATGGTGGTGGTAATGATCATGATGGTGATTGTTTTCCTCTAGGCTTTGTAGAGAATGAGCTGAAGAAGGTGCTGGCAGTTCAGAGGGAGTCTCGGCTCTGGAAGACAGGTGGTCAGGAAGGTCGAGAGCTTCTGACTAGGCCTGAGATCACCTTGGAAGAGGCAGGCATTGTGGATGGCCAGGTATGGTTTTGTCCAATGGCTCAGTTGCCTTCTAAACATCAAGGAAACTGGGGTGTTAGGAATTCCAGAATCCTAGAATATAAAAGCTGAAAGTAGCCTTGGTGATCCTCTGGTTCTCAGCAGAAGCCTTCCCCGTTGGCTATCTGCTGTGTGCTAGAGAATTCTGGGCTTGGAGTTGGGAAGCCAATCCAGGATTTGAATCCTGTCTCTGATATTTACAAGTTATATTACCTTGGGCAAGTCACCTAATCTGGCTGGTTAAGTTTTTTTCATCTGTAAAAGGGATAATAATAACTAAAGTATTTAGTTGATTCTGTTTCTAACCTTAATTTTATTTCTAACCCTAATCCTAACTCACAGAGTGATTGTGAAGCTCAAATAAGAGCATGTGTAAAGTGCTTTGCCAACTTTAAATTGATATATAAATGTCAGTTTTTATTATTACTATTCAGATTCCTACACAACTGGGAGAGGAGCCATTTCTCTCCATAAAATTGGGTGGTTTGGAATCAAAAGGCAGCAGGAAAATAGGGAGGTTGGGCTCGTGGTTAGGGTTGGGAGGGAGGAGAATTGGGGAGACATAGCTTGCAGGGGGGTGGGGGGGACTAGGTTGGAAGAAGCAGGTAAGGGGAAGTGAGGAGTTGGTAGGAGGGGCATGTGGGAATTGGGTAATGGAGAAAGTGAGAGTTTTGAGTCTTTCTGCCTCTTTTTCTCTGCCCCACCAGCACCTGCTCCTGGAAGAAACGGATGAAATGGGAAATTGGCCCCCAGACTGAGACCTGGTCATGGTTCCCACTGAGTCTGCTCTCTCCCTATGCAGACACCTCAGATGGGGGAGGAATGGAGAGGCGGAGAAGGTGTCTCTCTCCCCATCTAGCACTTCCATGAAGATGGTGTCATGGGTTGGGCTGTTTCCCCATGTCTATGTGATGGGCTTGGGTGGCACGGTCCTTCTGTCCTCCCATCTGGGGCACATGACTGATATTGCCAGTCCTTGTGCCCAAAAGGTGCCCCTTACCGAGCAGACTCAGTCACTATTATTAAAAATCCAGATTGACTTTGCATATCATCTCCTCTCAATTTCTGATCTCCTTCCCTTATTCTTGGCTCCTGAAACAGGGCTGGTCCATGGGGAAATTCTTGCTTAGTTTATTGATGTTGTCCCCTGAGCTTGCCGTCAAGGGAGTAGTCAAGTCTTCTGAATGCCTATAGAGCCCAGATTGGGAATGTGAAAACTCAGAGAAGAAGCAGGAGATTTGGGGACTATGAGCAGGGATATGGGAAAAGGGGCACAGGAAGGCCAGGTATGATGGAAAGTGACCTAGGCTGGAGGGACAAAAGACCTGCATTCATGTCCCAGCTCTGCAATTTACTAGCTCAATCTTCTCATCTGAAAATTGAGGTGGCCGCATTAGATGAGCTCTAAGGTCCCAACTCCAGAATTTCATGATTCTGAGAATAAACAATGCCAAGTCAGGTGGCCCCCCCCCACCATCAAGGACTGCCCCCTGGGAAGCCTGTCCCTAAGGTATTGTGTCCCAGACCCTTCACAGGGGTCTTACAGTCCTTGCAGTCCCAGCTTCTTCTGCTCACAGTAGACAGGTGGGGCCAGGAGGATCCGGGAATTCTCCAGCAGGAAGTTACTGCCTAGGCGGAGCTGAGACAAAGCCAGGAAAACCGCCCTCGGCCCTCGGCCCCGGAGACGAGACTAGACTGGAGCTATTTTTCAGGACCCCTGCCCACTGTGAGGGGTTCCAAGTTAGGAGATTGAGAGGCCCCTGGATTATTGGGGTACAGAGGGAGGATGTACCCCTACAGGGTGGAAGTGGAGGCCTTCTGCCTGATGTAGTGCTGGTCTCTTGAAGGTCCTGGCTATTGCACCACATATTGTCTCTCTAGGGCCCAATGGACCTAGAATGTGAATGGGACATCTAAGCCTGTGGCAAGCAGGAGGACCAGTGGGCCTCAGCTCCTTGGCCTCTCCTGAGATCTTTGTAACAAGGAACCTGGTTGGCTGCGAAGTGACTTCCCTGAGCCTCAGTTTTGTCAAAACAGAGGGATCTTCACCATAAGCCAGATAGGGGAAAGGTGGGAAGTCACTCCAGGGACCAGTAGATTCATAGACATCAAGGATAACCGCCTTGCTCTACAGACAAGTAAATGAAGGCACAGAGGGATTAAGTAATTTACCCAGGGTCACACTAAGTGCCTGAGATGGGGAAGGCAATGAACATTTATTAAGAGCCTATTATGTGCCAAGCCCTATGCAAAGTACTATGCACTTTGCAAATATTTGATAAAGATTTGAACCCAGGTCTTCCTAATTTCAAGTCCAGCTCCTTGTCCAGGGAAGTTACATCCAGCTTCCTTCTGCCAAGGATCCCAGGATGGGCAGCACCTCTTCTCCACAGCATTCCCACTCTGGATCCCAGGAGATGTTACAGTTTGTTCTGTTGGTGCCAATGATGCTACGAGGCTGGTTCATTCCAATCTGGATCACCTCTGAATACCAGCTCTTCCACCATTTCCCTGGTCTAGAATCCCAAGGCCACTGAGCCCTGACAGATGCATCAGTTCCCTGCTTTGGGGAGAGGCTATCCACTGTGCCAACACAGGTGAAACAAATGGGCTGATTAGAGCTTGGGGAGAGAGATTCTCACTGGGAGAGTAGAAGAGTCACATCTCTCTTCCCCACCCTCTTCCAACCTCACTTTCAAGAGCTTGGATGGTTTTTTCCATTGGATGAGAAGGGAAGAGACTTGGTGAGGTATGCCAACATCCTGCGTCTATAATGGTTTCCAATCGTTCATACCTGCCAACTGAGAGGGCTGGATGATTACATTCGGATGGATCTCTCTTAGTCAATGGGGCCACTCCCCTCCCTGCCCTACCCTACTGGGCCTGGGATCTCCCAGCCCGTGACCAGATGACTCAGAGCTGCACCCTAATTGCCTGGTTGGCTAATTATTATTCTGTCTTCCCTTGTTGGAAAGAGAAAGCTGGAGGTAGGGGTGGTGAAAGCTTGGTAGAAGGGGATTTAAGGATATCCCAATCCTAACGTTAGACTTTTCAATCCCCCTTTTCCCACCCACTCTGCCTTGTTTTCTACTGATGTCCCCAGAGAAGAGGAATTTTCCTATCATCCTGGCTCAGTCCTGGCTTTGGGCTTCCCATGCCCAGGCTGATGCACAGATTAGGTGGGGAATACCCATGCTCAGAACCCCTGTCAGAATAGCTGGAAGACATGTGAAATTGGGGTAAGGCCAGCTCTGCTGCTCTCACTCAGGCTCCTGGGCTTTCCTTAGGCACAAGATTGGCTCATGGCAGCACCATTAAGGAAGGGCTGGGCCCAGGGCAGAGATCGGAGAGTCCTGGTGGATAGAGCATTGGGCCTAGAAAAACTGAATTCAAATCCAGCCTCAGATATGCACTAATTATGTGACTCTAGGCAAGTCACTTAAACTCTGTTTGCCTCAATTTCCTCAACAGCAAAAAGGAGATATGAATTTTCAAATACAATCATTGTAAAGTACTTAGCACAGTACCTGGCACATAGTAAGCATTATATAAATATTAGCTATTATTATCACCAAGACACCAGTCCCTCACCTTGAGGCAAACAGTAAATTAGGTAGTTTCTCTGGGCTTTGATTTTCCCAACCCATAATAAAGAGGGAGTAGGAAGGTAGAAGGAGATTTCAGGGACTGCCCAGGTGGAACTGCATTCAGTCAGTAAGGGGCAGCAAGACCAGTACCCACCTGGAAATCTGGAGATTTAGGATCTTGTCTTGATCCTGCCAGTGGCTAGCTATGGGACTCAGGGCAAACTACTTTCCCTCTCAGGGCCTTACTTCCCTCACCAATCAAATGGCAATGTTAATAATAATACCTGTCCTGCCTGCCTGACAAGATCAAGCCGAGGTAATGGATGTAAAAGTACTTTGGAAAACAGAAAGTGTTTTATAAATGAGGGTAGCAATGCAATGGAATAGAATAGCTATAGTTTACAAGGGCAGCTCTGGGGGTCCTTTGGCTCTGTCCTCTCTTGGTGGCTGCAGAGGCCCGGCTTGTATACCTCTGATAAGATCAATTTTCTTTTTCCTCCCTTTATTTTTTAAAGTCAGTTTTTAGTGACATCTTTTGTTTACATTGCCTAGATTTCCCTTATCTCTCTCTCTCTCTATATACCCTTCGCTTTCTTCAAGAGAGCCATCCCATATAATAAAGAATATATTTTAAGGAAAAAAAAAAGAAGAGGAAAAAATTCAAACACATATATATACACATACATATATGTATGTATATGTGTGTATGTGTATATGTGTATGTACATATATGTATATATATGTATGTACATGTATGTATATATACATATATGTAACTGTTGTTGTGTTCTACTCTTCACGACCCCATGGACTCCAATACTATCCATGGGGTTTTTTTGGCAAAGATACTGGAGTGGTTTGTTATTTCTTTCTCCATCTGATTTTACAGATGAGGAAACTGAGGCAAACAGGATGAAGTGACTTGCCCAGGGTCACACAGCTAGTAAATGTCTGAGGCCACATTTGAATCAGGTCTCCCTGACTCCAGGCTAAGCACTCTATACATACACTGAGCCTTATCTATATATCTATCGACAATATATACAATGCTTCACACCCATAGGCCTTTGACATCCAGCAGGGTCCCTTTTACATAGAAATGGAATAAACATTGAAAGCTACTATAAGCTCCCTTCCCACCCCCCCACAACTAAAAATATCTGTCAGTCTGTCTGTCTATCTATCCATCTATCTATGTAAACAGGTATTACCTAGGAGAGTTTAACCAGTAAACCATTAACAAGGATTAGTGTATCAGATTAGCTGCTGGCTGTATTCTCTCTGAGCCAAGAACCAGCTCCTTGAGGGGAAGGGAGACCCAGGACGGGGACTTTCTGATGGGATGGAACTGATGAGAGATCTGGGATATAAAATGCTTCTAGAGTAGACCACGGAAGATCACAGTAGGGGGTCCTAGGGAGTGGGAGAGAGTACGTGAGATTATGAAGGCGAAAACTGCCCTTATGACTCACCTCAAAAGGACTTTGATTTCCAAGGGCTTTCTTTCCTCTGATTATAGAAAGGTCCAGTGACCTCCCTGATAGAGCCATCCCAAAGTGCTTCAGCAGGGCAGTGAATTCTCTGTCTTTGGGTTTGGGGGGGAAGGGAGGAGGATGTCTTTGTCTTTCATGAGAAGCCGGATAGCTGTTTGTTGGGTGCGGGCATGTTTCCTGTTCAGGTACCATTTAGATTAGTTGACTTCTGAGATCCTTTCCAGCTCTGAGGTTCCATGATTCTTTAACCTCTGAATGAAGCTTCTCATGAAAGGCAGCTTTTCCAAGGGCCAAACCCCACCCCAACCCCCAAAACCAGGCAGTGGTCTTAGAGGAACTGAGCGGAAGGCAGAGTGTCAACATAAAAGCCTTAGGGCCCCAATGAAAGAGACTGAACTCCTTTCTTCCCAGCTTTATGTAGGTTTTGAGACCTGCCCTGTGGTTGGGCAGCTAATACACACTTGTATCTTATCCTTAAGTGGCAGGTGTTCTTTTAATTACAGCTCTGTTAATATTGATACTGTGTGGGAAGAAAGGAGCAATGCAGTCCCCTCCAGCCCTTAGCCAGTGAGGATGGAAGGTCCAGAGAACCTGATCCTGATGGGCTGAGATAGAGCATTCTAGAAGGGCAGGTAGAGCATGGTAGTGTCAGACTCTGGGATTTAAGGAAGGCATTGGACCAAGGGGAACAACTGGAGTTGGTACCATACAG